ACTCCTCAATAGACGAAACACCGTATAGCTTAGTCTATGGCATGGATGTCGTCCTCGCGGTTGAAATAGGCTTGTCGAGTCCTCGAACAATCAACTTTGTTGAGAGCACCAACGATGATGACATCAAGCTGAATCTTGACCTGCTCGAGGAACGGCGAGACGCCGTCAAAATCTGATAAGCCAAGTATAAGGAGATTCTACAAAGACATTACAACAAAAAGGTGAAGGCCACGGATCCTGCTGTAGGCGATCTCGTGCTAAGGAAAAAATGAGGCCAGTCGAGCAGAAACTCCTAGAAAACTCACAGCAAATTGGGAAGGGCCCTACAAGGTTATCCAGGCTTCCCCAGCAGGCAGCTACCGCTTACAGGCCATGAATGATAGCTGGACCATTCTTCCTCGGTGGTGGAATATTCATAACCTTCGCAGGTTCTACGTTTGAGTCTTTGCCTGCTAGTTGCCTATTGTGTGTTTTATTTGCTTTATTTACCACGTCAGTTTTATCCTCTCATATGTAATGCTAGCCCGGGTCCTTGGGTAATTATTCAATAAAAGACATTACATATTCCTTTTACATTATATTTATGACTAGTCATCGAGATGGACTCCCTCTTCAGGGCCATCCTCGTTAAAGAGCCGTGTACTCAACATCCGAACTCGAAATCGAGGAATTCTCCTCACACACACACTGCAAAATGCAGTATCAAATCGAGGAATTCGTACCCAATTCCCTCAAAAGAGCCGTGTACTTCACATCCGGCCTAAAAAAGCGCTATATAAATCGACACTCGAGTAAAGCCAAAAATCATTCACTCTACACTACCGTGCGAGCTTGCAGAAATATACATATTTTCCTATGCTATTACAAGGACCTCCCTGACAGGATTGTCAGAAGAAAGATGAATAATCCCCTTATACCCATGCAGGCTAAGGAGATTCACACATGGATTCAACTTGTCCTTAAGATCACGATCTCTAGGTCCTGAGCATGCACCCTCATCAACAGCTCTTCTCGAGAAGTCCGAGTTCGAGGATCCACTATTTTCTCCGGATGTTCAAAAGCCTTGAAGTCAATGTTGTTGTCTGGTAACAGATTTTGCAATTTGGCAATGTAATCCGTAAGGAGCTCGATCTCACGAGCCTTCTCTTTCAGTATATCCATGGCTGCAATGAAGCGGCGAGTTTAGGTCATAATCATGTGCTGAACTCTGGCTAGCACTTGATGCATCTTGAGGAACAAAGGGGACACCGTAATCTGTTGTCTTGCCCTCAGCCGAGCATTCTCCTTCTCCAAGGTAACCAGTTCATCATGGATTTTGGCCTCGAAAGTCAAAGAATCACTGTAGTCTTTCCGAATTTGAGCTTCTTGACGTTGCATCTACTCGCGAAATCCTTTAATCTCGTTTATCAGATGCTGATTAATCTTTACAATATGCGTCCTCATTGCAGCGAGAAGGTCATTCTCTAAGTGTGCCACTGTCTCGACACTGTGCACATCGGCACGACTTCTTAGAATTCCGCTAGTCATGGAATATAGCAGGAACTCGTTCGATTGCTCCTCCGATAGCACCATGAGGTGAACACGGTGGACGGACCAACTATCCTTCTTCACAAGAGGAGTTTAAGATGTTTACATCAAACCAAGAAAAAAAGGGGGAGGGATGCTTATATAAGTACGCAAAAAGAAGAAATGAAGTAATCAATTCATTACAAAAAAACGGTAGTTTAAAGGGCCTAACAACTATTACAAAGGGCAGGATTCATACAGCATCACTACCTGGAGGGGGGTCCTTGGAAGGGTCCTGAGAGGCATCCTCGACATTTCTCTGAACTCCAGAATGGCCAGTATCAGCAACATCCTCCTCAGTGGCTTCATCGGCATCCTTGAGCTCGACACCCATGTACTCGTCCGGTACATAAGGTATGGGATCTTCTTCACTTGGGGCCTTAGCAAAGATAGCAGGTACGTCGCCTGGGAATGAGGCAATGTCTGCGGGAGAACTCATTTTCAGCAAGGCACCAGTGAAAGCCTCTCACAGGGGCAGTTACTCGAGGTTCAATCTCGTGAGGACCTTCACCATCGCCTCGTGCATGGTCTTCTTGGGGTCCTTTATTAGGAGCTGCTTGAACCACTTGGCCTTGATTGGTCTGTCCTGATCAAGCCTCCTCAAGCCTGCCACGCCTACCCGGTGCGCCCCGCACTTGGTGGCAACCAAATTCATCTCCTCAAGGGCTGCGGCCATCCCTCCTGTAGACAGCATCTTGTACATGAACGCAGCACACCACTGGTGTAGTTCCTCCTTCGAGATGTGCAAAGTGGTGAAAGACTTCATCTTCTCATCCAGCTCATCATACTTGGCTTGTACCAAGGCGATCTCAGCTTCCTTCGCTTGGACCTGGCGGGCCTTTTCCTCGAGATTCACCACCTCAAATAGAGCTTCATCTCTTTCAGATCGAGCCGTGACCAGGACTTCTCGCAGTTTCCTCAGCTGCACCAAGTAGGCCATCGAAGCCGCACTTATCTACATCGGCAAAACACATTAGTAATATACTAGGGGGTTTGTGATAAACACTCATAACAGATAAAACTCCCTTACCACTCTCAGGCTGTCAGCCTCGTTCAGCTGAGCAGCGAATTCTTCAAGGACGGGACACTCGATCGTCGGTGGGTTGCTGAAAATGTGCACAGCCATGGACGGGCCTCCCTCGAACAGTTGAGGGGGCTAGATTATTGCCTCTACTTCGAGGGGGCCTTTGCCTTTTTCTGATGCAGGGCGAACAACACTTGGCCCTGCTTCCGGTGGAGGATTTTGAACAGTCTCAATAGCAGGGGGCACCGTCTCGTTACCCGGTGGTGTGGCTTCTTTCGAGGGCGCAGCCGTTCTAGCCTTCTTGGATTTTGCCCTATCACCAACCTTCACGATCCTCTTCTTCTTCTTCTTTTGAGGTGCTTCAATGATGTAACGTCCTCATCTGAATTCACAATAGTAAAAGGATCTTCGTCACCAAACAATCGAGAACCAGCTTTGCTTGACGACATGACCTAAGAACAGACAGGGAAAAAGCAAATGATTAGTACCTTGGTTTTCTCCAACAGAGGTTTCGAGTAGAATTCTGGTTGAGGCCTCGACGTTAGCATTATCATCTTCCTCAGCATATACAGGAGGTACATAATATTGTACGTCGTTCCATTTAACGACCTTGGAATATTTCAGAATTTTCTCCACATTTGCATTGAGCTCCTCGATGCACTCTTCGTCCTCTTGGTTCCACTCATCCTTTATGGCTCCAAGACCTTCCATTTCTCGGAGATTCCACGGCAGGCAATAGCTCTCGGATGCCCGTACAAACAAGAAATCCGGCTTCCATTCCGGAGAGCCGCCATACGCCTCGACCATCTTTTTCACGCCGGATCTAAGGTGCCTTTTCACAATATACCAGTCTTGGAAAGAGGTCGAGGCCACAACTACTTGGAAGAAATACCTCCACAGTATCAACCGAGGTCTTACTTTTACATGTTGGAATACTCTTGCAAACCCCAGCACAAAAGTTATTAAATTTGGGGTGAAGCAAGCAAGGGGAGTCCTATAGTGTTGCACAATCTCCTCAAACAGGGGGAAGAGGGGGAATCTAAGCCCTAGATGCATAAATCGGTCATACACAGTAATTCTTCCCTCTGGGGGAGAGTTGGCCCTCTCGTTCCTAACAGGGCTCTTGCCTCTAGGTCTGAAGGAAGGTCATATTTTGATCTAAGGTTCTCTACCTTATCGACAGAATCTATGGTGGATGCGAAGTCATCAACAGTTTTTCCTTTCGAATCCCTAACCATGATTCCGGTACAAATCTACTCTGGCTACAGTTGGAAAAGACAGAAACTTTGAATGAAACCGGGGATAGAAAGATCTGAAAAGTTACTGTTAGAGGAGGATGTGACCACTCGCCTTTCGAGTTGTAGCTTCCCAGCGTTCTTCTTGAATCCAGATGGCAAATCCTCTGGAAATAACGTCGCTGGAGCAGTATGAAGGTGGAGGCTTGATTATTCCGGCGAAGGCGGTTGAAACGCTTACAGAGAGGAGGATTTTGAGTTTCTGCAAAGAAGGAAAAGTGATAAGTGACAGGGGAATGGTAGAGCCTTCTCCTTAAAAGTAAAAATCATTCTCCCACATTTCCCTAATTACAGCCCACGATATGACAGTTAATGCGAATTTCAAGAGAGTAATGATGGTGAGGCCGCCGTTTGGGGAACGTGCCCACTAATAACGCACGATTGAAATTTTGGGCGGGATTAGGAAACGGGTCACCTTCCCGGGTCAAGATCTAACCCGCTAGTTACCCTCGGGCTTCCAAGGTCCAGAGTTGTGCGTTTGAATCGAGGCTGCCCGACATATCGCTCGATAACTAGCTAAACAAGGGCAGCCCGTCCACTCTCAGGTGTGTCCCAGGTAACACTTACTTTGTGGCAAGCGTTATTTATCTTACGCAACTAACACTTGGCAGGGGCACTTGGCGAGTCCATATCCATCACCGATGCTGGGCCGACCCATCAACCGAAGGGAGAGTCCAACCAGGAATCTTGAGGCGGCTTAGGTTCCCGAAACCTAATAGGATTCAGGGATTGTTCAGGTATTCTCATACCTATAAATAGGGTTGCTCACACCACAATACAGGGACGCAATCTACAGCTTAACATACTATATACCTAAACCTTCCAGCAACCCTTTATTGACTTAAGTATCGGAGTGTCTACCCTCGGGAGACCCCGAGGCCATGTTTTGCAGGAAACCCTAGCCGGATTTCTACCATTAGACCGGCGGCGCAAAACCTAGCATCGTCAAAACGCAATATCAAAATGCAAAAATCTTTTGAATTCCTCTATCCTAGAATTATCTACCATGGGTTCCAAAATTATTAGAAGTTTCACTGAATACATATTGATAAAAAATTTTCAGCCTTATCTGTTATGCTTTATTAGAAATTCCACGGATATTCCAGATTAAGTAATTATTCATTTAAATTTTTTTTTGGATTGGTGTCACCTTGGAGTCTCGTCGATCGACGAATTTCTGAGGCTGGAGGATTTGTTGTTTTTGTTGAACCTCTCGGTCGTCCTTTCTTCTTTTGTTCATGCTCTCCATCCGAATTGGCTCCTCTCAGAAGCTGCACACTTTTGGTTGGATTAACAATCATATCGTCTTGAGAGTAAGAACGAATATTTGCCTCAAGTGGATTATCAAATTCATTTCCATCTTGGACTTCCAACAAATTTCCATCACCCTCCTTTGTAGAAACATCATTATCACTTCCAGATTCTAGGGCAACGTCGTCTAAATTCTCATTTAAAGCCGGCTTAAGAAATATCAAAGTAGCATTGAGAGTGCCTTCCTTCTCTGGTATTTCGTCCAAGCTCTCAGTACAATCTTCTGGTGTTTCCCTCTGACCATTTTGATCCTTAATTTAACCATCAGAATCTTGCAGATCAGATAAAACCTGAATTTCAAAGATAGTTATACTGCCGAGCTTATAACAGCGCGTTGTATTGTAATAGCACGAGATCTCCTTTTAAATAATCCAATTGAATTAACTCGTTGGGTGAAGAACTCTTTTCCAGAATTTTTGCTAATTCCTCTTTGACATCCTCTTGTTTCCAGATGATGGCATAACTGGACTTTGATCATTTAGGGCCGTAGGAATTTTCTCTTTTTCTTTCAATGTTAACCCTGATGATGACGGAATAGCAGTTAATTCCTGACCTTCTGATGGAACCTTCGCTTTCCATACATTCTTCTGATTTTGCGAGATATTTTTATGGAGTAGCTTCCCTAAGTCTTCTATCTTCTTGTTTCCAGCTTTTTGCATCAATTTTCCATCATGATTTTGAGCAGCAGTGGAATTATGTCGACAATTCTTGACTGAGTGTCCTATCTTATTGCAATCAGTGTAGTATTTGGGGAGGTTTTCATGGAGAATCGGTTGAAATTATGTATTACCTTCGACACCAAGCCATATTCTCTTTGGCAGATCCTTAAGCAAATTGACCTCCACGCACACGCGAGCAACAGATGGCCTAGACATGTTTGAGTTTGGTACATCAATTTTCAAGGACTTACTGATAATACTCGCCAGTTTTGTTAAATATTCCTCGTTGAACCTGTGAACTGGAATTCCTTCAAAGGAGATCCAAACCCGAGACAATTGGAGATTCATACGCCGGATTGAAACTAGTAGTCCATTTCAACACTTGCATTGTATACTTTTCAAAAATCCACTAACCTTTCATCCAACAATGTTGGTATCTTCATCCAAATCAAAGCAAATTAAGATATGACGGTGATCAATCATTCCAAAGGAAAAATTACCTTTAAATCCAATTGTATGAAATTCTTTCCATAGAAAGTCCATCCGAGGCCTGCCTTTGGAGAATTTGTCGACAAGAGGTAGTTTGAAAGGTATAACAAGATGATCATCTTCCTCCTTCATTAGGATGAATGCCGGCTCTCCTTTGAAAACAGAAGGTTCTGAAACTATGAAGCGATTTTGTAGATCTGGGGCTTCAAAGTTATTTGTTAGCTTTCGTGGATTTGGCTTTGGGCCACTCACGATTTGAGCAAAGGATTTATCAACGATACAAAGCACTTTTGTCCCCAAAGTTTGGGAAATAGCAAACTCGAATCTCCATCTATTTTTAATTGGCAAAAATAGTCTCCTAAAATGTTTGTCATCAATTTTGATCAATTTGAAAGAATTTTTAAAGAGTTAACAGTCAAACTTTGGTTTCCGTTAAGTATTTAATTTTTTATTAATTTCCCTATGAATGGTAGGGCTGATAACGGTCAAATTGTTACATAAAAGCATCACAATTAACTCCGTATTTAGTAGGAAATTGGGGGGTATTTCCTAGCATTAGTGCATTTTACTTAACTCGTCTTTGTGTTTTTGTTAGGTAAGGGCTGGATTGAATAATTGCTGAAAATTGGAGGCCAAGGGAATAATTTATGGGCTGCTGAGGTAATGTTGCTGAGCTGGACGAAGAAGCAGCCCCTTAGAAAAGAAACATCTTGTCATTAATGACTATGTCTCCTCAAAGAGGCATGCTTGTCCCCCAGCTACAATCTCAGCCACCTCTGCTGATCAATGAGAGCAATGCTGCCACTGCTAGAAGAAGAAAAGAAGAACAACCAAGTTGGATTGCAGGCTCAAGACATTGGGAGGATTAAACAACTACAAGCACGGGGAGGCTATCTTGGAAGAAAAACCGGCTTCAAAGCTCTATAAAAGGAGCTGCATTCCCAGCATGAACAGACAGATCTGAGTGGACATACAACACACAAAACACAACAGAGAGAGAAGAAGAGAGCAGAGAGGGAAGAAAACTCCAAAGGAAGAAGAAGTCCAGTAGTAGAAAAAGAGGAGTAACAGACCTCACTCGCCTGAGTGAAGTCACTCAGGCGAGTGACCTGTTGCTCAGCCATCCAGATTTGCTTCTTCTTAATGCTTTACTTCTTTTCTTGTATTTTCTATAGTTTGTATGTGTAGTTAATTAGATTTCATTCTCTGGAACCTATGTAGTTTAAGTTTGTGAATGCATTCGGATGATTTTGTGTTTTGAAGTTAAAGCTCTCATCTACCTCTTGATTAAATTGGCCATTTGATTGATTGTGCACAGAACTAAGTGAATCCCGGAAGGGTAAACAAGGTTCAGAATCATTTAGCTTCAACTTATGACTTGGAGGTAACAGTCCAAGGTTCTAATTGAGATAGGAATATACTTGGTTAGCATAAGCATTCATATAAGGCTTGAAAACTTCATGACTTTATGACTTGATTAATCATTGGAAAATAGTTTAATGGAGTTGATAAAGATACCTCTAGGAAAAATCGGAAGTGACTTAGAGATATATAAGTGCCTGAATGAGCATGAATTCATACCAAAAGAGTGCAATATCACAACTTGATTACATAGGGAAAAGAGAATGAATATCCAGTTTGTTGAGTCAGTCCCTTGAGTCGGAATTCTCACTCCCGTGAGTGAGGTTCCATTTGTCTTTCTTTGTCTTTAGTTCTGCAGAGTCACTTGCCTGAGTGACTTTACCCACTCGTGCAAGGGAGTGATACTCTGCAACTTTCTTTCTTGTTTGTCCAATTTCGTGTTCTGGTTATTTGAAGTTTAATCCGTCCCTGTGGGATCGACCTGACTTATCCTATCTACAGTTTAAGTTGGTAAATTATTTTGGGGGCTTCGACAACCCACCAAGGGCCCACTAATTTGACCCAACAAAAAAAATAGTTTTTTTTTTCATTTCTTTCTATTAAGATTTAATATTATTAACAAATAAAAAATAAATAAAAAATCTCTCTTTCTTTTTTTATTAATGTGCAATCCAACCTGAGCCAATCCCTTCAATTTTACAACGTTCATCTATGTTTTCATTTACGACCATTTCTCCTCCATATAACTTCATCTGAAGCCTGCACTGTTTGACAAACAATGCCTTGAAATTATGATGCATCAACCAAGAAACAAGAATAACTTATAGTATTTCAAAAGCATTTTTCTTTGCCTGACTAGACGATCAATTGTTCATAAAAGCATTGCGAATGAAAAAAAAAAATTAAAAGAAGGCATTTTTTCAAGAGCATAAAAAAAGAGGCAAATTTCTAAGTTCAGTTCTCCTGCAATGCAATTCTCCCTTTTGCCGAAAGGAAATAAATCTATTAGCAATTTGAACAGGCATTTCCTGGCGAAATAGTTCTGCCACAACGACAGCGTTCCATCACCTCAACAACACCCAAACCGGTTGAGGGTTGATTGTGAGCACCATAGCGATCTAAAGAGCTGATGGGAAAAAAACAGCCCTATCCTTCTGAGATGCCCCTCTTTTCAGCTTTTTAGGAGAGCCACCAAGAGAGGATTGGCACTCAACAACCCCAAATCCCACCAATCCCTTTTGGAGGTTAAACTTGCCCATTCGTTCATTACACTGAAGAGAGGGAGGAGGGTTATTTTAGGAAAGAAAAATGGAGGGAGAGCTGTAGTTCTGCTAATAAATGAAAGTGGTGAATAAAAAAAAAAAATTACCCCTGTGAGGGGAAATGTGATCTTGATCCCGAATGAGGTGGTGGCGGCGACGGACAAGGTAGGGGAAGTGGTGGTGGGGGCGGGGGTGGTGAGCCGCCATTGTTGATTTTTTTTAATTGTTTTTAAATTTTTTAGTAATTACATTAAATCTTAATAAAAAGAAATGAAAAAAAAAATTTGTTGGGTCAAACTAGTGGGCCCCACCATTCATAAGGAATTTAATAAAAATTAAATACTTAACGGAAATAAAAGTTTGACCGTTAAATCTTTAATAACACTGTTAAATTGACTAAAATTGATGACAAAAACATTTGAGTGGACTATTTTTGCCAATTGAAAATACATGGGGACTCGAGGTTTGCTACCCCTAAATTTTGAGGATCAAAAGTGTGTTTTGTCCTTTTTTTAACATAAAACCTATCTATAGCATAAAGATAAAAGTCTGAGTAAGGAAAAAATTCCTAAAATATGATTGGTCGAGCAGTTAATTCCTCAAATTTGATTGGTCGGACGGTCATCCTATGACATCCGCCTTACATCAACATTTTTAATTAGGGACAATGTTGTACATAACTAAATAATTGGTTTTACTTTTTTACTTTTTTTTTTTTTTGAAAAATCCCCCACTACCCAAAACGATGTCGTTTTGGGAATTTTTCTTTTTTCTCTTTTCTCGTATTTTTTTTCGCTGGGGAATAAGAAAAGGCCCCAACGCAATTGCGAACCTTCACCCGTGCCATCACATCCCCGCCACCCTCTCCAATTCTCCTTCCTCTTCTTCTATTGATTAATCATCCTTCACCTACTGTGAACTTCTTTTGTGATAGCTTGAGTTTATTAACACTCTCATCATCATTGCCATCTATTGTTACATCTTTTGTCGATTTGCTTGCCGCGATCTTTGAATGAACATACGATAATGCCTCTTTTCCACTTTAACTGAGTTCCAGCCTTGTTTTATTCGAGCATAAAGAAATTAATTAGAAGAAAATTTCATCCCAAGGATTGAAAGGGCTCAAGCAGCTAGGCTTATATTTGCGAGTGACAAAAATTTGAAATTTAGAGGTTCATTTGGTTGTGCTTTGCAAAATTGATCTTTTCCTCGTTCTTTTTGTCTTTTTTATACTGAAATACCACAATAACAACATACATCATTGTTTAAAAGAATAGTTGTATTTTAAATGCATATGTTTGGAGTGGTGATAATTTTGGATAATCATTGGCACAATAAAAATTTATTCAATTCATAGATCTCGGTGGGATAGATGATAATGTGATGCTGCAAGGCGACCATCTCATCATGCATATCGGCCTCGAAAATCAGGGATCGTGGTAGTCTTGGTCTTTCATAATCTCGTCATTGCATCTCCTCTCGGAGTCCTTTGATTGCTTCGATCAAATACTGATTGACCCTCACATTTTGGGCTCGAATAGCATCAAGGATGTCTTCCTCCAAAATCTTCATTGTTCCAATGTTATGGATATATGCCCGTCTTTTCATGATGTTGGCAATCATAGAGTAGAAAGGATACTCCTTGGATTGTCCTTCTGATAAAATCATAAGGTGGATTCGATGAACAGGCCAACTGTCATGTTCCATAGGAAAATGCGAAACCAATATCAGACGATAAGGAAAATGACATATCTATTCATGAAGTTAAAAGAAACAGGAACTGTTTGCAGGAACCATTGTTTAAACCAATTCCTAAAAAGCTATTAGAAGGAAGAAGTTCATATAGCTTCTTGGGAGTGAGGAGTATTTTCTGGGTGACTCTCGGATGCTCTCTCGATGGGGGGATCGTTCCCCTTGGCTCCGCCGGCATTCTCGTCTGCTGGAGGGCCGTCTTTCTTGGCTCCTGAGTTATGAGTCTCACCCTCTTCCGAGGCGTAATCATCATCATCCTCCTCAAGCTCAGTGCCAATATATTTGTTAGGCACCTCAGGGACCTCTAACTCCTCACCAGGCCCTCCCGACAGAACAGCGGCAACATCTCCAGGAAATGAGGAAATGTCAGAAGGCACAGCCGGCTTGGCCAAGGCTTCGCACAGTGGCTCCCAGAAAGGAACTGCTCTATATTAAGCTTGCTAAGGCCTTTGACCAAGGCCTCATGCATGGCCTTCTTTGGATTTTCCTTAAGGAACTGTTTGAACTTGATAGGCCTGTTCCCATTGAGCCTCTTCAGGCCCGCGACTGCAACTGCATGGCCTCTGTAAGCAACCGCAGCCGTATTGATCTCTTCCACGATGGTAGCCATACCAGAGGAGGGCAACATCCTCAACCAGAAGGAAGTACACCACTTGCAGAGGTCTTGTTTCAAGATATGCAAGTTGTTGTACTCTTTGAGTTTTTGGTTCACTTCTTCATATTTGGCCTGGACCGAGGCCAGCTCCTTCTCCTTGGATTGCAACTGCATGTTCCTCTCCTCAAGGATTACCTTCTCGTTCACGGCCTGATCTCTTTCGACACGAGCTTCCACTAATTCCTGTCTTAAGTCTCTCGAGCACTTTGTGCAGTTCATCATGACTGTGCTCATCTAGAAAGAACAAGCAAAGGATATGCATGCATTTTAAGTCAAAATCGTGAAGATAGAGGAGCATAGTGTAATACAAAGTACTTACCAATTTTAAGCTGTCTGCCTTGGCCAGTGAAGTGGCAAAATCCTCTAGCAGGGGGCAGTCAATTGCTAGTGGACTGAAAGTATAAACTGCAGCAGAGGGGCCTCTCTCGAATAGCTGGGCAGGCAGAATGGTCACATTCCCCTCGAGAGGGCCCTTACCTTTTTCCACAACAGGGGGTTTAGTGCTTGGCCCTGCTTCATTCACTGTGCGCGTCTCCTCCTCGACGTTTGGTGTTGCTGACTGCTCTGTTGGGGGAATCCATGATTCCTCAATAGCCGGAGGAATGGTCTTCTCTCCTTGCTTAGCCGACTCTATTTTCTCCTCGACAGGAGTATTCTTCTTCGATTTCTTCCTCAGCCCTTTCTTAGAATCCTTCACAATCCTCTTCTTTTTCTTCTTCTTCTCTACCACTGGTTTTGTTGTTGAGGTTTCTTCATCTGAGTTCACAACATTCAAGGGGTCGGCGTCACCATAAAGTTCGGAAGTAGCATTTCCCGACGACATGACCTAAAAATAACACAGAGATAATGAGAGATTAGTACCATTCTTTTCTTCGACAGGGATCAATGGAATGTAATGCTGCAGTTCATTCCATTGGGTCACTTTTGGGTACTTCATCAGTTTCTTTAGGTTTTCTTCAAACTCCTCGACTTCCTCATCTTCCTTGTCAGTCCAATCATCCTTTATCGCCTCTAAATCATTGGTTTCTCGATAGTTCCATGCTACACAGAAGTTCTCAGGCGCTTTTACAAACAAATAGTCTGGCTTCCATATTTTTGAACCACCATATGCCTCTACAATCTTCTTGGCACCTGACTTGGGATTCTTTTCCACCATATATCAATCTTGGAATGATGTCAAGGGCACAGTAACTTTGAAGAAGTATCTCCACAGAATCAATCGAGGCTTAACTTTCACTCGCTCACATATTCTCACAAACCCGAAAACATATGTTATCAAGTTGGGTGTAAAACGAGATAGAGTTTTATAATGTTGCACGATCTCCTCGAACAAAGGGAAAAGGGGGAATCTCAACTCTAGATGTATAAAGCATTCATAAATAGTAATTTTTCTCTCAGGAGGAGTATTAGCTCTTTCAGTACATAAAGGGGCTCTAGCTTCTAGATCTAGGGGCAAATCATATCTCATTTTTACAGCCTTTACTTGATCATCGGAATCTATGGAGGAAGCAAAGTCGTTGACGGTTTTCAGATATGGATTCCTTGCCATAGTTGTCTACTTACAACAAAATCTAGATCTACAGTACGAATTCAAGAGTTGGAAATGAAACAGAGATTAGGGAATCTAAATACTTAATAATGGAACAGGGTTCCACTCGCCTTTTGATTTGTAGCCTCCTAGGGTTACAGCCAACTTTGGCGGCGGTTTCCACAAGCACTCTGGCAGCGACAATAACGACCAGGGCAACTAAAAGGGATGCTGACTGTTGAATGATAAATTTCGAGAACACGATTGCTTCTTCAACGGGGGCGGAGAAAAACTAGAGAGGATTTTTGTGTGTTTTGGTTTAAAGACGGAAGTGTTGAATTAATCTTCTCTCATCGAGTTTAAAAAGGCAATGTACTCCCACAATTTGATGGTTTCTCTACTATCAAGGAGACCAGTAGTCGCCGTTTGGGAAATGTTCGGTGTAATGGGGCATGTCTGCACCCATTTAGGCGAGATTCTGCGTCGGGCTACCTTCCTGGGTCGGAGCCTGACTCGCGAATTATTGCCAGGCCTATTCAATGCAATTTAGGCCAAGGCTTGCCCATTCTACTTGGGCCGAGTCCAGGTTAGATTTATCTTGTGTCAAGTTTTGTTTATTTCAAATAGCTAATACTTGACAGGGGCACTTGGCGAGTCCATATCCACCGAGGATCGTTAGACCGACACATCCGCCAATTATGATTCAACCGACTTTACAGAGGCGATTCAGTAATAAGAAACCTAGTAGGATTCAGATATCCTTCAAGGTAATTCCATGCCTATAAATAGAGTTGATCACACCATAGTTGAGGTACGCTATCTCTAGCACCCATAATCATATATACACTTGAGAGTGTTTACCCTTGGGATACCCACGAGGCTCTGTTTTGCAGTTAAATCCTACCGAAGTTCCACTGTTAAGCCGGTAATACAACTCCAAGCTTCATCGTGTATATAATAATTGTCATAGTTCTAAAGCATTTACCTAACATATATGCTATTTTGTGGCACTCCCTCTACCCTAGAAAATAGTCTACGGTGAATTTTACGATTTATATTCTAAATTTCAAATTCAATGTGGAATAATTTTATAGGACAAGTGGACTAAGTTTGCATTCTTATTTCTTTTCAAAGGGAAAGATTTAATATACCCTATTCGTCCAAAATTAATTGAGGGTTAAATGAGGGAGTTGAAAACGTAATATTAGTTACTTTTTTACATTTATTTTGAGGGAGGGGTATAAAATTAGAAATAAACTAACACCAATAAATATTCAAATAATCCCTACATTTTTTTATGCAAATAAATCAATTATAAATTACTAATCTCACTATATAGTTCAGATACGTGCTGAAAATTTAAAGTTAAGAAATCAGTTTAACATTACAAAATTATGGACTTAGAAATTTTACTCGGGAGCTAAATTACCACATATTACAACACCTTCATCACAAATATGTGATGTATAGGCACAAATTCGTAGACAATGATTAAATAGTGATGCTTAGAAGACAAAAAATATATGACTCATCCGATTATTATAGCAAAAGATGAACAAATTGAGATAGACACGTTAATGAATATAGAGCTATACCACGTTTTTTTTTTTAAGAAAAAAGAAACTTATATGACTGCAATAGTACCTATGCTTCTTCTTACAAGTATATCTTCTTAGGATGAATGCTATGAAGCACAAATCTTCCAAAATAAAAAATAATTAAAAAACAGTATAAACTGCAAATGACGAGAAATCATTTGCAATGAAACTGTAATTCTGACTTTTATATATCTTTTGTATATTGTTTAAAATATCTTCATAGAAGAAACCGAAGGCATTAATCGATTGATTGTAAATGCACAACTCCTGCAAATTTTGATATTTATATTTTGTTCTTTATTGTAATCATACATACTGTATTTAGTATATAAAACACTTTGTAACATTCGATTCAATAATGAAAAATTATCATTCGCACCATGCATTGCTATTAAAATATCATAACATGAAAAATAGTATGTGATGACATGAATGTAAGATACTCCTAAAACTCAAATTGTTTTTAGATAAAGGATCAGAGACAAAAAAGAACTAAATTAAGTCAAGATCGCACTTATTTTTGTTTTTAATTTTTTCCCCTTTTAGGTGTGTTTTACAACTTGTAAGCATTTAATCATCCCAATTTAATGTTGTGTATGGATATAAAATACATTGAACAAATTAACACTAACAAAGAATTTTACATTATGTCATAATCAAAGTTGCGCATTCTCTCATATATAATTCTTTTTAACATCATTATTCTTGCTATTCTAATGTATAATTTCTTTTGACGATAATACCATAGTAGACATAACAATTTGATCCCACTTGTTCCTTTCTATAGTTGCAACTTTTTAGATCATTTTCTTTTAAGTTGGTGCAGATAATGTTTGAGCCATCAAATGATAAACCAAGTAATTTGGGGTCATTGAGTTCTGAACTTTTCTCTACTAATAAGAAGGAAAGCTTTCAAGCCCATTAGCAGAGTTCGGGATAAAGTCTCGGGCCCCTTTTTCTACGCAAAGGTCTTTTACCTACGTTAAGCAGAAATCATAAGATCATCTATATCTTTGAAGAAGATTGATATTTATCCTTCTTTTTTTTTGCAATTTAATATTCAACTTATGTTAGGTGCAGTACGTGTCGAAAGGTACGCAGATTGTGATTTTAATAGAGATTCATAAAAACTTCACATGGTAGAGTGATTGAAAATAATTCAAACAACCAAAGAGATAATGATGCTACACAATCAGATTCGATGACATAATCCTGACATATTCGTGGTGAGTACATTATATTCTTTTGCAGTGCCTTTCTTCTTATTTTATAAAATAGAGATATTAAATATATAAACATTAAAAAAAAAGATATGAAGGTTGAAATTGCTTGAAGATCCATATGATACATGTGAAAACACACAAGTACCCTTATTTATTTCCAGTTTTAAGAAATATGGTTACTTATTTCGTACTTTCACCCCACTTTACATTAAAACAAAGTTGATAGTATTATTTTCTTTATTTCAAATACATATATACATTTCTTTCTTTAGATCCTCATGACACTATTACATCATCCTTGCATTATTATTTCCTAGCTATGGATTTTGCAGATCGAGTAATTGCAAAAATGTTATATTTTTATCACACGTCATAATTAAAACATGAGAAGTGGGAAACTATAAAGCTAGAAGATAATATTCTTGTCAACAACATATAACTTTCATGAAATTGCTGACTTTTTTTTTAACATTAATATTTCATTTCATGAAGCATTCACCTAGATATATATGTTACTTTGTATTACTCACTCTGCCCAAAAAAAAGTCCACATTAAGTTTTGAGATTTTTCATACAAATCTCAAAACTCCATGTGTACTATTTTCATGGACAAGTTGACTATAATTTTGCATCCTTAGTTTTTTTTCAAAAGGACAATAATTAATATAACTTATTCAACCAAAATTAATGAAGATTTAAATAATTACATTTTTTTTTCTAGTGTTAAAAATGAAATAAGCTATCTGCAATAAATATTCAAGTAATTCATACACCTATTATTGGTTATGTATATAGATCAAATAAAAATTACTTATCACTACTCCATAGTTCAGGTGTGTGTTTGAAATATAAAGTTAAGAGATTAGTTGAGTATTACTCCCTCCATCCCGAAATTATTGTTTAGTTTAGATCTTTATTTTTAGTAAAAACTGAACTAAAAACAAAAACCCAAACTGAACAATAATGTTGGGACAGAGGGAGTACAAAATTTTGGACTTACAATGTGACTTGATGCCAAGTATAGCACATTACAAAATGACACAATTCTTCACAAATATGTGACATAAAGGTACAAATGCCACAAAGTTGCAGCATCATATTGTAGTAAAAATTTTTTAGACAATGATCAGCGATTGATATTTAGATGGCCTCAAATATATGCTAGGTTTGGATTATTGTATGAACAATTTTTGGATGAATTGAGGTATACCAATTGTTACTAAATATAGAAGTACATAACACATTTTTTCTTAAGTGATATGATAACAATAGTACATATGCTTCTTCTTACTAGTATATCATTTACAATCGAATGAAATGAAACAAAAATCTTCCAGAAGAAAAAGTATAAATTACAAAATATAAGAAGTGAATTTTAAGTTGAAGTTATAGATTAAAAAAAATCATTTTCAATGAAATAGTACTTCTGTTTTTTATATATCTTTTGTGCATTGTTAGAATATCTTCAAAGAAGAAACCCAATGCATGAATCGTATGAATCGTAAAATGCAGAATTCATATATATTATGATATTCAGATTTTGCTCTTTATTGTAATTATACATATTGTATTTTTAGTATATAAAACACTACTACTTTTGATTCAGTAATGAAAAATGATCACTAAGATCATTTCAATTACCATATCGTAAGATGAACAATAGGAAGTAATGACACAAATGTACGATATGACTAAAACTTGAATTGTTGTTAACTAAAAAAGATACGAAATAATGTTATGTTTAAAAAAAAATATATATATAGTTAGGATAATAATGCACAAATGGCACATATGAGACAATAACCAA